TTTCTTTTTCTCTCCATTTAAACCAGCAGAATAGAAGACAATCACACATCCCTTCAACCCACCTCTGAGACTTTGCGAAATGGAAACAGTGGCAGCATGGAAGTGCCCTGATTGACTTCCAGTTTGGAGATGCTCAAGCTATAGCTTTCCATGGTGCCACAGTAGTTCTGTTGAGATATTGTGCTTTGATAGACACCAGCCTTCCCCAACCTGTGTTCTCCAGAACAGTTGGGATCAAAACTCCCAGAATTTCTTGGTTGTGAATTGTGGCAGTTGTAATTCCAACCTAGACTGGAGGTCTAGGGAGGGTACTAGGTACAATAAACTCAAAAGGGAAAAAAAGCAAGCCTAAGCTTATTAGATCCACCTTGGTCCATCAGCATTCTCAATGCTTTCTATATATGAGGCAAGAATCTCAACAGTAGGGAGCCTTTTCTGCCAGTGTAACTTGTGTGCATGATTTAGTATCCTGGAAAATCAGGCTTCTAAAGTTCGGTGACCTACCTCTACAGATATAAGACTTCCCACTGCAGAACTCCATTCTTAACATTTTGGCAGCATTCATACAGCATACTTAACCTGGGTATTGAACTGACCCATTTCCTGGATTCACACACTATCTTGAGTATAAACTAATCAAACAGGTTAGGTTTGCACAACACCAAAACCAAATCAAAGTTCAGTTTACTAAGTTTAAACATGTTCTGCGAATGTAGGCTCTCGGTTTTTCTTACCCTGGTTAAGGACAAGAGCACAGCCTTTGTGGCTGATAAGGATGATGGAGATGATGCAACAGTAGCAAGTGCAGCCTTGCTTTTCTTCTTTACTTACCCAAATGGGGATTTAGCTCCAGCCTCATTGATAACTTAATTGATAAGAGTCACTTTTGTGTGAGATGGGCAACTATATAAATACAATAAATCTTTATTCTTGCTCCTTAGATAAGACTGTCCACAGCAAGATGAAATAAAAGGCTGCGGAATTTTAGAAACAGGTCATTCATTAGACCATTTGTGAGGAATATCTTAAGACAGTGCATCATAGGAGATAGTTTCTTGGGCTTGAACTAGGGAGATTTAAGTCCAAATCCTTGTGTTTGCAATGAATCACCAATTAGCTGTTGGCAGGTCATCAATATTTGTCATCCTGACTTCTCTGCAGGGTTGTTATGAAGCTATCCAGCAACTTTCCTTTAGCAACTGCAAGAGATGAGTTGGTGGATAAATGTGTAACTTTTCAGGCTTAATTTGACTCTACCATCAGAAATGTAACTGAATTTTGTTGAAAAATAGGGATTAATCAAATGTTAGTGTATGCCCCCTGGCACAGTATAATTTTACCATGAAGTTAGGGTGCTGCAATGAATCCCAAAATTTGGCACCTGCAAGATAGAGAGGAGATCCTAGAAATGAGGTGGTTCCATTTCTCTGTTCTCTTCTGAGGCTTTTGGGGTTTTCTTTTTTGGTTTCAGAATGCAAGTGGTGAGAGGGAAATTATTTAGACAAGTAAAATGGCCAGTCTAAACATTCTTCAGGGGAGCAGGGTGCTTGCAGGGGGGATGTAAAAAAAAATCAGGATGGCAGTCAAAATAGCCCAATCAAAGCCTTTTTGTGTGTGCGCAATGTCACATGGAGATTGAAGAAGGCTGGGAATTTGATCACATGGTCACAACCACCATTGTGGCTTTTTTTATGCACCACCTCCACCCCCCGAGATATCACTGCTCTGGGGTATATTTTGTAACTGGGAAGGATCTGTTGGATCTTCCACCCTTCTTGTCATTGTTAACAAGACTCTGAATGGTACTGTCTGTAATGGAGGCAAATTATTGTGCAGTGATAAGATGGATTTCCCTCATGGTGGGAAAAATATCCAGTCATCTCTCTGCTTACCATGAGGTGAGGCTGAAGTTGGGGAAGGAGCTAACAGATGGTATACTAGGGGTTTTAGCTCTGTCTCAGAACCTAATCTGCAGGTCAGGTGGGGCTTTCCATTTTTGCTTTACTAAGGCTACCCATCTCCTGGATTACTTGCAGCACCTGATCCAAGAAATTTCCTGTAAAGCGGGAGAGGCTCTCCCCTCCTTTAATGACCAGCTTGACTTGCCCACATACCTCCCACCATTCCATGCATGGTGCTGGCTGAAGCAGGTCTTTTGCTTCAGTCAATGCCACCAATTATACAGCCTGACACAATGCATGATCTTCCTCCTTCAGCATGTGCCACCACCGCATGATGTGCCAGCAGCCATGCTGGCAGTCCATGCTCAGTAGGCACTGCTCCTGCTTAGGTAGGACCACCATACTCACAACCTGCTAATGTGACTTCCAACACACCATGCATGGAATCTTGGAGGGGAGTGTAAATATGACTTCAGAGAGTCATATCTTTCAGCCAGCAGACAGCTTGCCCATCAGCCACTACCCACCATGGTTGACTGAAAGTGACCAATACAAGCTGGGTGGATTCCAATCCTGCTGCATCATCAGCTCAATTACTACCAAAGCACCCCACCTCATGCAAATAGCAAGGCCCCCTTTGGGAGAAAATGGAAAACACCAACTTAGGTTAGGAAAAAAACTAAGCTGCACTTGGCTATGGGGATGAGAAGAAACCTGTATCATGTGAAGGTGTCCTTCAAGAACTGCTAGCCAGACATCACTGAACCAAAGTTAGTGGGGCATGTAAATGTATCCTTAGTCACTAACTTGTTTTTTAAGAAGTCTACTCAGAATTCCACAAATTTAATAGTTTAGAAACACTTATGAGTTGGAAATGTTTGTGCTTTTACATGGAATGGTGAAAAGAGATAAAGTTAGGTAATTTGCAGGATTGTTAACATTTTAAGAGGAAATAGAGAATCCATGGAAACATTTTACCTACTTAGATACAGATTTAGATTGCTATAAAAAGTACCTCCCAGATGAAGTGGGTAAAATTGATCCCAACCATATAGTCTCAACAAGTGCTGCTTAGCTCCCTGCTGGCCAAAACGACCATGATTTTTTTTTTTTAATTTTTCAGGATTTTGAAACACTTCTCAAGATACATGGCAGTTAGAGAATTTTGCAACATATTTCTGTACCTTAGCATAGAAATGTTGTTGGTCTATGTTTGATAACTCATACTGCTTACATTTTTAGCAAGGAAAAACTGCACTTGCTGTAGCATCCAGAAGCAATCATGCCTTGGTTGTAGACATGATTATAAAAGCAGAGAGGTACTACATCTGGAAACAGGTAGGAAACAACTTATTTAGCTTTTTTTGCTCAAGCATGTTTCTCCATTATTTGAATCCTGTTAGCAAAATATGTCATTTTCAGATCTGGATTTTGAAGTCTCCTTGCAGAACTGCTAGAAAATGTTAAACCAGAAGTATCTCATTTCTTTCTCTTCCCCTTCTACTTTGCCCAGCAGCCCTTGCTTATGTCATCACTGCTAAGATATTGAGTAAGAAGTTAAACTTGATTTTTAACTTCCTCTATGTACTAATGAACTCTTGGCTTTGCAGCTTTCTTTCTTCACTGATTGTACTGGAAACTGACAGAAGAAATCACTGCACTTGTAGAAAATTGTGGTCTCCAAAGAGAATTTTCATGGAGTGCAATCCAAAATGCGCCTGCTTGGATATATTGGCTACATATTACAAACTAGGAAGGAGGAGAGTTTAAAACCTCCCTGGCAGACACCTAAAGATAATTACAATAGGGCTGCCATGATACAGGCTGACAGCTGGGGAATTCTTAATCCTTCTACCAGGATTTATTCCTTCAGCACAGCTCTAGGAAAACAGAAGGGAAGGTCTTGGGGAATCTTCTGCCCAAAATCTAGAAGGACAGAGCAAAACTTGGACCAATCCATAATCTCAAGGAATAGGTTGGTAACAGTGCTACCTTCTATGCGGGAAACTTTTATTGAAAAATTCCCTTATGAAACCACAAAACTAGATCTACAGATATAAAAAAAGTTGTTGTTGGAAAATGCTAATATAGAGAAAACAAGAGAAGGCAATAATCATGTACATAGAATACCAAATACAATCAGTATAGTCAGCCTACCTAATCTAGTTACTAATTACCTCCTTGAATAAGGTGTCAGCTATGTCAAAACTAGTGCAAGATGTTGAAGGCTTGTTTATTGCCACCCCCACTGCTCTCTGATGGTAATTTGGA